CATGCTATCAGCGAACCATGGATAGATGTACTTATAATCAAGAATATCTATTACTTCCTTAATCCCCCATTATCCTTATCTCTCTTAGTTGGCAATCCTGTCCTCCAATGTCGATGCCGGTCTGTCTCAACTCTCATCCAACGCCCGGATGCGACTCACTACGACCATGCAGGCAAAACGATTACTCCGTGGGCAATGGCGTCCAGCTCTGATGCTGTGCACCATTATGGTATCGTTCACCATCTTTTGGCTGTTTTACTTCGTGGGAGCGCGTCAATTGGCGCATTTAGGTCCTCACACAGAATGGATTCAACATTGGTTGATTTGTGTCGCATCCAACAACGTAATGCTCCCTTCCGCATCCGCCGATGAGATTCAAACCATTTGTGCAAGAGAAATTGTTCACAACTTGCCGTCGATCCCCTGGTTCACGGCTGCAGAGATATTGTTGGCTTTGATTGGAATCGTTGTGGCAATGGTGTTTGTGTCCAAGACCGAGTTTTGGTCGGATTGGATCTTTTTGTTGAAAAATTTGATTAGACGTGGGAAGCTGGGTCGAGCAGGCAGTCGAAAACGAGGATCGCCTGAGATCGACAAGGCGGGAAACAATACGGATCAGCACTGTCAACCGCAGGAGCGATATGCACAGCATGTGCTTCGGCACCAGTTTGTTGACCCCAATATCAGGAAGGGCACGAGGGTAGGGTATAACGACGCGTTACCGGCGGAAATGTCCATGACGAACGAGAACAAGAGTACGTTGGCCTCCAGCGACTATCCGTTTCGAAACGTCAACGAGGATGCCAATCATTTGAACAGCAACAACGGCCATCAGCATGCGGCGCAGTGGTACAACATGGACGACCTATTGGATAAAGAGTATGGAATGCAGCAACAGCAACTACAGCAGCAAGAAAGTTCGGACTTGCACCGGAACCAGAGTTTTGGGTCCAGAGTGGGTATGACTTCGACTCCACTTCTCAATAATAGTGTTGAGCCGCCACTTTACTTGAGAAAAACAAAGACGTCTGAAAGTCTTCATGAGCCGCATTCAGGAGATATTCTGTATTCGCCGCCTGTCCAGGAACGTGATGATTACTACAGCAAGAACACTTGGGTGCCTAGTACGCACGCGACGGTGACGACTCCCTCTAAGGCATATTTGGTTGCAAACGATAGTAGCGATCGATATGTGGACCAACCGGTGGTTCCACTGCCGGTGCCAAGAGCCAGTTTGAAGGCAAAAGGCAACCAGCAGCCAAAACAGCAGCAGTCGCAAGAACAGCCAGTCTTCTTGTCAAGTCCGACCCATTCTCCTACGTTTGTACAAACATCTTTGTCGCCGATGCCACCCAAGTCGGCACTAAGCTATCATCAATCACTAGGACAAGGGCATGGACAGAAGCAGCCACCCATGTCAGGACTGCCCCGACCCGTGATCTCGGATTCTGTACCCATTGTGAGCGGTGTTCGAGGATCTCCAGCCGTTGCTCCTGTTCCTGGACTTACATCTGCTGCGGCCACTGCGTCTCCCACTATGACAGCTTCCGCGTCCCCAGCTATGAGCACACCATCAGCATTGTCGCCATTGATGTCCAATGACCCTAACAAAACAGCGGGCATGTTGTATAACTTGGACGATGACACAGATAAGATCATGGTCGCGTCTCGGGCCAGTATCAGTGGATCTCACCCACATGTTATTGGCAGGAGTGATAGTACCGGCGGTGGTGGTCAAGGAGCTACTAGAGGAGTGGCAAGCAAGGCGACCTGGAAGAAGCAGAGCTCGGACGCTCTCACTGCAAGAAGTAACACCCAAGGTAGTGGCAGTGCAGGAGGTGTGAAGACAACGACCAAGGCACCGATTGCATTAGATTTGACTCGGATCAAGAGCCCAGCACCGCCGACTATACCATTGAAGAGTCCTGCTAGAAAATCGTCGTTGAATCGACAGCAGCAGCAGGGGCAAGGCCATGATCGAGAGTTGTCTGGTTTGCCGCTGTAGTCCTGCGTAAGAAAAAAAAACCCCCCCCTGCATGACTTTGTAAATAATAAAAAAAATTGTCAGCACATCCTCTGTGATGATATTTTTCAAGGCCGATATGGCAGCACCTCATTTCTAGAAAAAAAAAAAAAAAGAGAGAAAGAGGGCATGACTGGCAGTACATCCTTTCTAACGTTCTCAAGAGTGTTTTATTTTTCAGGCATGGCTCCTCTGCCAAGCTTTGAAGAGAAGCATGCTAATGTTTTTTGTTTGTTTGTTTTCTGTTGACATATGACATGGAGAAAGTGGGCGTTTTTTATCGCATCTTCCGGCATGTTACACGGTGAAGTGCATCATGCGCATGCATGTAAGGCACGACGGAGGAATGAAAATTGTGACCAAGTCCACCAAATATAATTATGGGCCGCATTGCATCTGCATTGATCCACGGCAAACAAAAAAAAAAGAAGAGCATCGACAAGTCTTGCACCGCCTGAGAGCAGGACGCGTATCATGTGTGTAGCATATGTCTGCCATTGCTCCTCATCTCACCTGTTGCGAGCAATTCGACTATCCTCGTAGAGAAGTGCTGAAAAAAAGTCGGGAGTAGTGGTGATGCATGCGCCGAGGAGCGAGCAGATTTGTTTAACGTTTGTTCTGGAGGAGAGATGGAAGGGATTGTTTAATGTATTGCTGCCGAACGTCTCATGTTTGTCGAATCAACGCGTCGCCCTTCCACTCATTCAGTAAAAACGAGCTGTAGATCACTCCGTCTTCTTCCTCATCTGACGAACCTGATGAATAGAGTATTGATATGTTAGGATTAGTTTGATTACCTTTGAGGGTGATCAAGACACCACTGGCATTACAGAACATCAACAGCCGAATGCATTTATTCTTGACGCCAGCCAAGAGAACGAGCTCCCTCAGCCATGCAAAGCCGGCGGATATGGGGCCCGCGTTCTAGTACTGTATCCTTGCTCGTCTTGGATCCACTCCTGTGTCAAGAGATTTCAAGGTGATGTGGAGCGACTCAGATTATTATCGTGCGTAGGACTTTTGGTCGGATACAACGATGATCTCTGAAGGAACCTGTACTCGCGGGTCGGGTCCAAAGGGATTAAACTGTGGCCAAGAGGAGAAAGAGGGACTGAATAGCATCTCGTAGTGGTTGTCAAGAGCAGCAATTGGGACTGTCACTACTCACATCTACTGGTCCTTGGTTGTCACGCTCTACGTAACTAAACATGGTAGTAAGGTCCATGTAGATCTCATCTGCTAGGAGTGGCGGAGCTGTGCAGTCTCTGTCAGAGGTGGGTCTGCTGTGCGCTGCAGATTGAGAGTGCGCCAGTAGTTCATGCGTGCCAACGACGCGCTCTCAGCGCTGTTCTATTGTCGCAAATATCTTCATGACCACTGTGTAGCTGAGAGAGTACTCTGTTGGTAAATAACGGCGTGTTGGTTAGACCTGCTTCCTAAGGAATAATAACGATTTCTCTCTTTTATCTTGTGCTCTTCCATTGCAAGTGTCTCCTCCATCCTCTTCACTTGGAACTTCATGCCCTTCTTGTTTCCCTTCCTCATTCGCCGCTCCTCTGAACAAACACTCCATAAATCCCCAGCCGCCTATCTCCCCATCATCGGATGAGACGGTCGGTGAGACCCTTTGCGCCCGCTGATGTCGCGCCTGATGAACAAGACTATCAGGATACGCTCGTACAAAAGCAAAACGAAAAAAAAAAAAAAACTGGTGCTTGCCAACCTTGAAAAGCTCGTATGGTTGTCTCATTCCTGTTTACCTGTTTACATCGAGCTATGGGTGTGTTGAACAATGAGAATTAAGGACAGAGGAAGGCGGAAGAAGCAACGCGTTAGCAATTCATACACTATTGACTTTTCTCTGCACTAATCGCATATCGCACTTTTTTTCTGCTTTGGGGACCTATGTCCATCAAACGTCGCAACATCTCTCGGAGCGTGTGGTAGATGGATACTTACGCAAACACGAAGCTATTATAAATTTCTCCGCCTAACCAACCTATATTTCATTGCGTCCTTCGTCGCGTACAGACTGCCGAGAGCACATATAGCACATGTAGCAACAGAAATCGCCATGACTATGCTGCTCGTGAAATGTCGCCTCAAGTTTTATTTTATTTTTCTGTCGCAGTTACTAGCAGGAGTTTGGCGTTCCCCTCCTGCGCACATTATAGCCAGAGTCTGCTATACAGTCAGACCAATACCGTGCTTCATCGCTTCATTACCTTACCTTCACAATACCACAGCCCATCCGCTGCAAAAGTATAGCCTTGGTCAGCTCAGTACTAATCCCGTGTGAATTGTGCCAACCCTCTCCAAATGTGCAGCCATAGAAGGACTCTATGTACACAGTGCATAAACAATTCATGACTCTCGGCTGCTTATAGCCTCCGCACTGCTTCAGACGAACTGGCAAACATTGGTCTTTTCCACTATATAGACGCAGGTAAATGATAGTACAAACACAGTCTCTCACTTTCGACGTGTCAAAATGAAAAAAAAAGCATGGTATGTCAAACACTAGTGACTCGCCATCCACCCTTCTCTTTTACTCTTTAGTTTTTCTATCTTTCACGAGAATGATTGCTGCCGCCTGCTTTTCACTTTGTCTGTCCAACAGCCGCGCATTTAGCAGTGAAAAAAAAAAAAAAGATTTGTGATACCAGTTCAGTTGTCACTTGTTCTCAACCCTATACCTCACTCTGGGCAGCTGCTGATAAGTAAAAGACCTATAGCCTTTACTCTGGCAAGTTCATGTTGACCTTTTCCAGTCTTAAAGAGGCATTTTGGCGTCAGCAGTAGCGACAAATAAAACCCCCTCCCCTGTAAGAACAAGGCGCTCACCCCCTGTCAACACAAACGTTTCGACTTATTCTCACGGGGGGTGTGAAAATATGTTCTTCTTCCCTTGATGTTCGCGAACGCGATTCCTGTTGTTGTGCTGAATGCCAGAAGGAGTAAAAAAATAATCCATAAACGTTCAGGGCGGGGTTCGAACCCGCGATCTTTGGCTTCGGAGACCAACGCCTTACCTCTAGGCCACCAGAACTGAACCAACCGGAGAATGTTCCGATATTATCGCCAGGTTCTTTGTTTAATACGTAATTGTAGCAGTTGATACGTCACGTGCTGCATAGCCTAGTAGCTGGGTCCCCCTTTTTCCTGGGCCCGGGGCCCACTCCACGACACAGAGGGCGTCCTGTGGGCCTCCACGCTAGGGCCATCGAGGAAGTAGGACGGACTAAGATCTGGAACCGACGTTGCAAAGTCACCGTGGACTGGGAGTGAGAGCGTGGAATCACTTCTGTGAGCAAACGCGCCAGAGGACGCACTTGTGTTGGAGGGCTGTGGCGATGCCCCGCTACGACAGACACGCAAACCGACATCTGGCGCGATGCAGTGGGAGGCAAAACAAAAGAGTAAAGAGGGCCGAGGACAGCAGCCAAGCACGAAGAGAGGACCGCAGTTCACCG